AGGTCCTTTATTACACAAGTCAGCCCCTCCCCCAGGTCCTGTATGACAGCAGCCAGACCCTCCCCCCAAGTCCTGTATGACAGCAGTCAGCCCTTCCCCCAAGGTCCTGTATACAGCAGTCAGCCAGTCAGCCCCTCCCCAGGTCCTGTATAACACCACTCAGCCCCTCCCCCCAGGTTCTGTATTACACCACTCAGCCCCTCCCCCAGGTCCTGTATTAAACCAGTCAGCCCTCCCCCCAGGTCCTGTATAAAACTAGTCAGCCCCTCCCCCCAGGTCCTGTATGACACCAGTCAGTCCCTCCCCCCAGGTCCTGTATTAAACCAGTCAGCCCCTCCCCCCAGGTCCTGTATTAAACCAGTCAGCCCCTTCCCCCAGGTCCTGTATAAAACCAGTCAGCCCCTCCCCCCAAGGTCCTGTATTACAGCAGTCAACCCCTCCCCCAGGTCCTTTATTACACAAGTCAGCCCCTCCCCCAGGTCCTGTATGACAGCAGCCAGACCCTCCCCCCAAGTCCTGTATGACAGCAGTCAGCCCTTCCCCCAAGGTCCTGTATGACAGCAGTCAGCCCCTCCCCCCAGGTCCTGTATGACAGCAGTCAGCCCCTCCCCCCAGGTCCTGTATGACACCAGTCGGCCCCTCCCCCAGGTCCTGTATTACACCGTGAGCCCCTCCCCACAGGTCCTGTATTACAGCAGTAAGCCCCTCCCCCCAGGTCCTGTATTACAGCAGTCAGCCCCTCCCCCAAGTCCTGTATTACAGCAGTGGGCCCCTCCCCCCAGGTCCTGTTTTACAGCAGTGGGCCCCTCCCCCCAGGTCCTGTATTACAGCAGTCGGCCCCTCCCCCCAGGTCCTGTATTACAGCAGTCGCCCCTCCCCCCAAGTCCGGTATTAGAGCAGTCAGCCCCTCCCCCCAGGTCCTGTATTACAGCAGTCAGCCCCTCCCCCAGGTCACCACTGTGCAGCAGTCAGCCCCTCCCCAGGTCTTGTATTACAGCGTGGCCTCCCCAGGTCCTGTGGGCTCCCCCTGTATTACAGCAGTCCAGCCCCTCCCCGGGTATTTTGCTGGTGAGCCCCTCACCCCAGGTCACTGTATTGCAGCAGTGAGCCTCCCCAGGTCACTGTATGACAGCAGTGAGCCTCGGTCCTGCTGTGAGCAGCAGTGGGCCCCTCCCAGGTCTGTATTGCAGCAGTGGGCCCTCCCAGGTCCTTACGGCAGTCGGCCCAGGTCCACTGTATTACAGCAGTGACCTCCCAGGTCTGTATTACAGCAGTCAGCCCCTCCCCAGGTCACTGTACAGCAGTCAGCCCCCTCCCCAGGTCCTGTATTACAGCAGTGGGCCCCTCCCAGGTCCTGTATTGCAGCAGTGGGCCCCTCCCCAGGTCTATGCCGGCAGTGACCCCTCCCCAGGTCCTGTATGGTGGCAGTAGAGCTCTTTGGAACCAGCCCTTGACCTTGGTGGGCCTCCCAGGTCTGTGGCCAGCAGGCTGAGCCCCCTCCCCAGGTCCCTGTGTGTGCAGCAGTAGCCTCCCCAGGTCATAGCGGCAGCAGTGAGCCCCTCCCAGGTCCTGTATGACAGCAGTGAGCCCCTCCCCAGGTCCTGTAGGCAGCAGTCAGCCTCCCCAGGTCACCTTATTGCAGCAGTGAGCCCCTCCCAGGTCCTGGCCTTGACATGATCAGCCCCTCCCAGGGTCTGTGGCAGTCGCCCCTCCCCAGGTCCCTGTGTGTGCAGCAGTGGGCCCCTCCCCCAAGTCCTGGTGGCAATGGCCCCTCCCCAGGTCCTGTGTGCAGCAGGCCCTCCCCAGTCTGTATTCAGCAGTGACCCCTGCCCCAGGTCCTGTGCTGACAGCAGTCAAGCCCTCCCAGGGTCCTGTATGACAGCAGTCAGTCCCTCCCAAGGTCCTGTGGCGACAGCAGTGAGCCCCTCCCCCCAGGTCCTGTGTGACAGCAGTGAGCCCCTCCCCCCAGGTCCTGTATGACAGCAGTGAGCCCCTCCCCCCAGGTCCTGTGTGACAGCAGTGAGCCCCTCCCCCCAGGTCCTGTGTGACAGCAGTGAGCCCCTCCCCCCAGGTCCTGTATTACAGCAGTGAGCCCCTCCCCCCGGATCCTGTATTACAGCAGTGAGCCCCGCCCCCCAGGTTCTGTATGACAGCAGTGAGCCCCTCCCCCCAGGTCCTGTATTACAGCAGTGAGCCCCCAGATCCTGTATTACAGCAGTGAGCCCCTCCCCCCAGGTCCTGTATGACAGCAGTGAGCCCCTCCCCCCAGGTCCTGTATTACAGCAGTGAGCCCCTCCCCCCAGGTCCTGTATTACACGTTACAGATACATCCCATGATGCCCTGCGCGGGTTACATACAGGGCGGGTGTAACCTGTGTTCCTGGCTTCCTATTGGCTGAGTGCGGCCCTCACCGCGGGACACGCTCCTCCGGCTGGCTCCCCGCGCTCAGAGTGCGGAGCCCTGCGTCACGTGACCCACGCGGGCCGCTGGGTAAAAAAGGGCGCGCGTGGCAACGGCTGCCGCCTCCGCGAGGACATGACTGCCAGATCTGTTCTTGGGGGGGGCTGTCAGCCAATCAGCATTTACTGCCTCTCAGAGTGCCGACCAATCAGGGGCGGGCGGGCGTGGCAGTTAGGGCGGGAAGGTTTGAATCTGTGAGAAGGGCAGCACGAGATTCCCGCCCTTTCTGCATTCTCCATATAACCGGCTGCCTTACAGCTGGTCCTGTGTATTAAGAGAGGAGATGGTGGGCATCTACCTCATGGCCATTTCTGGATTTACAAATAGTAAATGGAACCTGAAACAGGCTTTATAATCTGCCTAGAGATCCACATAAACAATAAAATAATAAAACCTGATATAAGTGAAAATGTATATAAATACCTGAGAAATCAATTATAGGAATGTGTACATTCAAACTCCAATCTGATCATAGTCTAACCTGATGCTTTGCTACTACATGGTTAATCTGAATTGAGAGAACTAATCCCAGCCTTTATAATTTAATTCAGAACAGGGTTACCTCACAGCACATCTAGACCTAAAAGTGATATATTAATGGAGCAGGTTTATTGTCCTTGGTTTTTACCAACGTTTGTCGCCTTCTCTTCGTATGGTTATTACACCTTCAAATATCTCAAAAGGTCCAAAACCTCAGGTTATCCCTAAACCAGATTATTTCCTTCTCGATCATATAGGTTTAGATTTATTTAGAATTTCAATGAAAATCAAACATAGTCTAAATGAAAATATTTCTGAAGATTTAAAAAAAAAAAAAAAAAAAAAGAGCCATTTACGTAACTTAAAATGTAATTAAAGACCATTTTAAAAAATCGTAAACACATTTAATATAATCTAGAGAATCATTTCTGTGAAGCTCAGTTATTCATTCAGACGCAACAACAAAAAAACATAGAGCTCCTAGAAAAGAGGGACACTAGGATAAAAAAATACGGAAACATTGTTTCGGGCTCAAAAATGGCCTGCCTTTCGTAAGAGAAGAAACCCAGGAGATCTGATGTGATTTATAGTATCCATCCCTGGGTTTTATGGTATAAAATCATACACCATCTTCCTGTGGCTCTCTGCTATTTGCTAATGTATATGCTGCATGAACCTTTAAGGTGTATTTTTTATCAATATAATCTATATAAAATCATTAATAAATGAGGCAACTTGCATCCTGGATTGTCCCTTTAAGATTTTAAGTGGTTACGCCAACCACCATAATCATTTATTCTTTTAGAAGTGGTCCTGGTGGAAGGAATCTGTATTTGCAGCGTTTCCACTTGAACCGCTATTTGCACTTTTTTAGTGCCAGGATATTTGTTAATTCTGTGCAAAAATGACCATCTGTGGTCAGTTTGCTGGCTGTCATCTCTCCCTGCATTTGTTAATAATTGTCCTTTTTCCTCTGCGTCCCGAGTCCAACCCCCCACTTTCTCCCCATCGCAGATCCGCGCATGCGCTCTGAGCCAGCACATGCAAAGCATTCGATTGGACCTCGGAGAGAAAAGGAGAGCTGCGACATGCTGTCAGAACCTCACCGAGCGCTGGATCACATTATTCTTCTTTTACATGATTTTTAAAAGTAATAAGGGGGGGGGGGGGCGTTACCAAGTGACAAGTTCCCTGTGTGGTGCTATAAAGTTTTTTGTTTTTTTTAATGAAAAGATAAAAAAGGGTTGGAGTAAACTTTTAGGTTTTTTACTGCAAGCTTTAATATAAATGTGTCTGTGTGAAATAACAAGTAAAGCTGCTGTGTGCTGTATTCTCAGACATGACGATGCACTTTAAATTCTATGTTTTCCCGTAGATTCATTTATAGCATAGCTGGCTATATTTACCACGGCAGGAATTCCCGCAGACAGGACAGGACCTTCGACAAAAGCTCGGTAACCTGTCCTCTCCCGCGCTTTGTACTGCCATCATTGTAGATTCCCAAAGCACAAGGGGAAAAATACCCCTGGGCAATATGTCACAAATTATAATAATAATAATAGCCTTCTGGCATTGTGCAAGACAAGCACTCGAGTTCATTCACTAAATCAGATACTGTGAAGAATTGACAAGAAAATTATAGGTTTTAGATCAGAACAGGTGCACTGAAAAACATGCTTGTTTGAAGTTTTTGTTTCACAATTTCAGCTATTTTGACCTACAATATGCAATTCTTGGTTTAGCACAGGTGCCAACAGTCCCAGATTTCCTAGGACAGTCCTGCACTTTGGGATACTGTACCAGCCAATATAAGTTCCTGGCACCTGTCCTGCTTTTTGGAACCTACTGGCAGATTTGAAAACACGGGAGGGGACTGGGCACTAGCTACGCTACTGCTTGAGGCAGTAGGCGGTCAGTCAGCCTGGCCACCATTTATAGGCGCTGGTCTGCCCGCTATTCACTTACCTGCCCACCTCAGTTGCAGAAGGCGGGCAGGAAAGATTGGCAGACATAGTTTAGTGAATGAATCCTGTAGACCAGGCTTCCCCAAACTCCGGCCCTCCAGATGTTGCTGAACTACAACTCCCATGACTCTCAGCCTAGTTCATTTATAGAATCATGGGAGTTGTAGTTCAGCAACATCTGGAGGGCCGGAGTTTCGGGAAGCCTGCTGTAAGATCCTTTAGGGGTCATTCAAGCACTATAACAACTTGTGCATAGGTTATGGTGCAAAGAAGTTTCCTGTTGCAGAGTGCAGCAATTTGAGGGGAAAAAAGCAAACACCACCATACCTATAAAACTATTCTCCAGCGACTACTTCACAGGAGGAGGCTATACTATGTACTATATGCAAATCAGCAATCCATGGCGGGACCTTTAACTGGGTACTATAACAGAGCCAGGACTGAGGCCTGATTTCCCATTAGGCAGAGTAGGCAACCGCCCACTAGGGGGCCAGGGCAGAATTTTCATTAGGCACAATAGGCACCTGCATACAGGCACATGTCCATACCTGTTTTCAGCACTTATTATGTACCTTTTTGGAGCTTAAATGGTACATGTTATGACAAATATAACTTTCTTATATTGTCTAAATTTCACTAAAATCAGAGGTACAACAACAGCTCTTTCTGTGTCCTCTCAGTCAGTCAAGTCAGTCTTAATAGCGGAGCTTATAAAATATAAGTGGGTGGGAAAAAAGTGGAAATAAAGTACAGGCAGGCCACTGACCACTGAATCACTCCCCAATCCAACTAGACCGAAAACAAAAAGACAGTATATAGAATACATCTATAAACCAATCAGGGCGCCACAGTCACAAATATAATAAATAGTTACCACTTTGGAAGTGGAATTCTCATGTGAAATAGAAAAATAGAGAGCAAATCACAGTACAAAACTTTAATAAAAAATTAACAGTGTTTTAAAAGCCAATATCACACTCACATGATGGAATGGCACAGGTAAAATTAATTAAATGTGCAAAGTAAACACTATTTAAACACTGGATAAACAGGGAAGGATACAAGCTCCTGAGGAAGTTGTCGAAACACATTGAGCTAGAGGACCCCAGGGCGAACAACAGGAACATCAGCAGACTTTTCTGGAGTATAGGTCGGAACTTTGATATTCTTTCCTGGTCGAACTCAGCCCATTAAGGCTAATCTGCTTATTTTGTACATTTAATTAATTTTACCCGTGCCATTCCATCATGATTTGTTTTCGTTTTTTCTCTTTCATGTGAGAATTCCTCTTCCAAAGTGGTAACTATTTATTATATTGGTGACCGTTGCACCCTGATCTGTTTATAGATTTATAATATATGCTATCTTTTTGTTTTTAATAACAGAGCTGCAGGAACAGTCATAGAGTAAAACTCTATAAAACTCAGTCCTGTCCCGGCTGTTCCAGTGTCTGTGTGCGAGGTTAGACAGGAAGTGCAAAGGATCACTTCCTATCTGTTACCAACAACCTCGCACACAGGAAATGCCGTACAGGAGTAGCAGGGATAGCACTGAGTGATGCACACTCTATAACAGCTTCTGCAGCTCAATATTAAATCACAGGAGGGTGACTGGACTAAAGATGACATAAGAGGGGGAGTATTTCGCAAGTAACCCTTCAAACACCATTAGCTCTAAATTTAACCCATCACAAAATCTAAGCAAACCTTTTCCTTAGTCCCAAATTTAAGCACTCAAAGCTTTAGATTTTTTAATACCTGCAGTGTCCGGCTAACAATTTTATCTGCTCCTATTTTTTTAAGAGGAAGATTGAGGGTGGCAAAAATGTTGTACAAACTGGCACCAGATATGTAAATCTGATCCTGTGTGCCCAGTTTCTTAATGATTATACTTTCCCCCTTGACATTTCTTTTTTTATTTGCATGATCTGTGAATCTACAATAAAGTCCTCACCACCCCCCCCCCCACTATTTTTGAGTATTTGACATTTCTTTTTTCTCCTTCTCACCCCATGCATTTGCTTTTAAAATTTCTATATATTCTGTCTTTCTACTCAAAAATATGTGCTGCTTTTCCTCTTTTTAATAAAATGATACTCACACTCCATAGTTCACGTACTGCTTATAGCACGGTAAAAGTGGTAAAATAGAGAAGCCACAGCCCCAATAATGTAAAAACAAATATTCAAACAAGTTAATATGCCCAATCTCTTTTCCTATGTGTGGATCTTATTTTATCAAGCACAAATTCTCTAGGAAGGCTGGATATGTGTATTATAACAGTACAAATGTTTAGACAATAAAACCTTGGTTTACGGTAAGCTGATTTCAGTTGGTTACGGATGCTCTTGTATCTTCCTTCCAGGTTGGCTGCACTGTTGGCCATGTTCTTACTGATGTACATGGCCAAGGCAACGCCACTTACTTTCACATACAAATCTTTTCTTGTTTTTAAATCTTTTTTCATTGGTGATTGTAAGGAGTGTGCTCAGGCTCATCCTGTGTAGGCCAATTGGTACACTCACTGTCCCCTACTACAGTTTCTATGGGAACATGTGCATGAGTTTTGGTTAGTATTTAAGATTAAAAACAACTAAATGGTTATTTTTTTATTTCTTACAGGTTGCACAGTAATGTGCTGCATACATACACCCTTGACTTTATGCCACCACCTCCAAATACAAGTGAGAATTTTATTTTATTTTTATTAAACACATCCTTTTTACCCAATGACATTTGCGAAGAATGTTTCTATATATTTAAAGACAATGAAAGCATGTGGAGAATTTTCTGTGGCAGTTTGTCCACATGGAGGCACACCGTGTTTTTCTTGTAATCTCTGTAAGACCTGGAGCGTATCAGCTGTGCCCATTGAGTGCTTACCCGAGTCAGACGGTGGACAAAATAAACTCTATGATCTCGACGAGGACTCACACAGGGATAGAAGACAGCTGTTAGAATCTGAGAATTTTTACACCATGTGTAGTGTTACCCACATAAATCTCAGAATGGCAAGTAAATTGTGGGAGACAATTTTAACAACAAACAGGTGTGAAACTCGGATAAAGCAGACAATCATTGAACTGGTTCTCTACGTTGGTAGAGGTGATTTATTAAGAGTCACTGAGAACTTAGAACCTTTCACCTAGAATAGAGTAACTGGGTTTATCATAAAACGAATCTAGCTCCCGCTACTGCTGAACACACAGTGCAAGAAGTCTGGTGTAATGGGAGATGAATGTTGACGGCAGTCATTTCACAGTGTTCTAAGGTTGTTTCCTTATGAAGAGACTGTTGCAGTTGGTGCTATGTTTTATAAGGTACTTCACAATTAAGATTAAAAAGACACTATAGTCACCAAAACAACTTTAGCTTAATATAGCAGCTTTGGTGTGTATTTCATGATTATGAAGTGTAACTTCTCAATTCTCTGCCATTTAGGAGTTAAAGGACCACTATAGTGTCCTGAGGGTGCCCCCACCCTCAGGGTCCCCCTCCCGCCCTGCTCTGGGGAGAGGAAAGGGGTTAAAACGTATCTTTCTCCAGCGCTGGGCAGGGAGCGATCCTCCTCCGATCCTCCCATTCAGCTGAATGCGCACGCGCGGCAAGAGCTGCGCGCGCATTCAGCCGGTCGCATAGGAAAGCATTTACAATGCCTTCCTATGGACACTTGCGTGCTCTCACTGTGATTTTCACAGTGAGAATCACGCAAGCGCCTCTAGCGGCTGTCAATGAGACAGCCACTAGAGGAATTGGAGGAAGGATTAACCCATTTGTAAACATAGCAGTTTCTCTGAAACTATGTTTTTTTTAAAAATGGGTTAATCCTAGCTGGACCTGGCACCCAGACCACTTCATTAAGCTGAAGTGGTCTGGGTGCCTAGAGTGGTCCTTTAAATCACATTTGTTTCTGTTTATGCAGCCATAACCACACCTCCCGTCTGTGAATAACACAATAGTAAAAAAAAGGAATACAATGGGTGTTTTGTCGCTTCCAGTAAATATATATAGCCACTCAGTGTAACAAAAAAAGGTGAAATCCCCAATCACCTAACAAATAATCAACAGATATAACAAGTAAATAGTTACACCCTGTGTGAGCACACAATCAATACTTATACATAAATTGGTATAAAGTAATGATAAAGAATGTCACTCACAATTATAGAGCACGGATTGTGGTTGCGCAGCATTTTCCTGCCCATGCGCAATGTGCGCCCTATGCTTTCCTCGGGTTAAAGTATTGGATTAGCTGTAATCTGATTATCTAAAAAAAGAAAAGAAAAAAAAAAACCTTCCCTATGCAATGCAAGAGACCTAAATAGTTAAAGACTATAGTATCAGGAACACACTCTATCTATAGTGTTCCTTTAACAACTCAAATGGCATCATGCTGACATCACATGTTTAATCTTCATCTGGGATGGTTACTTCTGAAGCTGGTCTATTTTCTTAAAAAGGCAAGATCTTCCTTAAGCAAAAAATTTAATATATAATTTTGTTCAACACCATGTAAGGTGATACTTGAAAATTAGTTGCCTTAATATGACATCCAAAATGAAGCAGATATACAAAGGAGAACTTGGCAAAACACATACTGACATGATAAGTCCATGGAGAATTTATTTTTTTTAAAACTCATTATGACCTCCAGGAAAATAATATATTATGGAAACCTAAAAATAATAACGGTGCCTTAGGACATATGCATAGCACTCAACAAAATGTCTTTTTTTTCCATATCACACAGGCTTTAAAGGACCACTCTAGGCACCCAGACCACTTCAGCTTAATGAAGTGGTCTGGGTGCCAGGTCCTTCTAGGGGTAATCCATTGTTTTATAAACATAGCAGTTTCAGAGAAACTGTTATGTTTATAATCGGGTTAATCCAGCCTCCAAATCCTCTAGCGGCTGTCTCATTGACAGCCGCTAGAGGCACTTGCGTGCTTCTCACTGTGAATATCACAGTGAGAGCACGCAAGCGTCCATAGGAAAGCATTATGAATGCTTTCCTATGCGACCGGCTGAATGCGCGCGCAGCTCTTGCCACGCGTGCGCATTCAGCCGACCAGGAGGAGAGCTCCCCGCCCGGCGCTGGAGAAAGGTAAGTTTTAACCCCTTTCCTCTCCCCAGAGCAGGGCGGGAGGGGGACCCTGAGGGTGGGGGCACCCTCAGGGCACTATA